TTGGAAGCTGTTGAAAACTAAATTTAGATGAATCCAAATCCAAATACACCTTCAAATGCAACAGCCATTTTAATTTTTCTAAGTTTGAAGTTTTGACGAGCTGACAACTGACATGACATTTCGAAACGAGTGCCATCCCGTTAATTGGAGTGGAAGGTACTAAATTACCTTCCTCATGTTTTTCCATTTGAGTTACCACCCCCTGCATTACACCCTATGACAGTAGGTCATATATTACAGACATAAAAAATTAAAAATAAATAATATTTTAGAAATTAAAAGTATCGGTAGAAACCGCATTAAAGTTATACTAAAGTCTGTACTAGATGCTAATAAATTATATACAAACACTCAATTAATTACAGAAAATTTAAAAGCGTATATCTCGAATCACCTACTTCAAGTTAAAGGTTTAATTAAAGACGTTGATTCAAAATACGACATTGTATATTTAAAAGAAAACATGACCTCTAGTTCTCGTATTTTTGATATTAAAAGGTTGCACTGAAAGGTTCAACGGGATGGAAAAATTGAGTATGTATCAAAAAAAAAACTATCGTAGTAACTAAATTCTGTAACAGCTAATTTCGTATATTTTCCAGTTGAAAAACTTATTGGTAGAATTACGCAGTGTTACAAATGCCTTAAATTCGGTCACATTTCCAAGCAGTGTAAAGGCACTGACGAATTATGCATACGTTGTAGTGCTGTTAAGACTGACAATCACCAGTGTACTGAACATAACATGTTATGTATACATTGCAGAAGCACAGACCACATTTTCATTTCTAAAAAATGTCCTTTATATGAACAACAACAAAAAAATTAAAAATATTATGATTGAAGAAAAAATTTCCTTCTTAAAAGCTAAAAAATATTGTAAATCTTTATATTCTGGACTCACATGTATAAACAACCGCAACAATACTTCTCCTGGTTATGACCAAATTAAATACCTTATGCTCTGCAATTTATCAGACACATAGAAGCATTTAAAAAATTATTGTTGTTCCCGTACCTAAATCATGGAAGAACCATAACTTTGCTGAATCTTATAGACCCATATCATTGCTTTCATGTGTCCTTAAAACTCTAGAGAGGATGGTTAAGTTTAGGTTTGAATGGTGGTTAATGAAACAAAAGCTTCTTCCAGAAAATCAGTATGGTTTCAAAAGGGGTTTTAGTACAATGGATGCCTTAAGTACTTTGGTGGTAGATATTCAAAACAATTTCTCAAGAAACAATTATTTACCTGTCCTTCTCCTTGACATCGACGGTGTATATAATGCTATGTGTTTGCCTCTCCCGCTAGATAAAATGATTAAAATATTTCATATCCTAAAACAATTTGCAATCAGTATTATAAATTTGTACACCAACAGATCAATTTATTTGCGAACAAATCAATCTGTCCTAGGCCCTAGACTTAATAATAAAGGGTTACCTCAGGGATCTGTTTTGAGTCCTGTTTTATTTAATATGCACACAACTGATTTACATAATGTTCAAATAATCATTATCATTTAATATTGTACATAATATGCCGACGATTTCTGTATTTATACTGAACCCAAAAAATTGAAACCGCCTTAGAAAATTTAAAAAATATTTATTTAGTTTTACAAAGACGGTTGACCACAATTGGCTTTGAATTATTAGTTAACAAATCTATGATATGTATTTTTACAAGACACAATTCACCTAATATGAATAACATCATGTTTGGACCCGACGATTTCATGATTCAAAAGGACGCGAGGTACTTGGGTATGATTCTGGACAGGAAGCTGACGTGGAAATCCCATATTGATAATACGCTGAATAAGTGCAATAAGAGAGTAAGTTTTTAAAAATCGGTTAGTAAGACTTGGTGGGGTACTGATATTAAAATTGCTCAATTATTTTATAGAGGTTATATTCGCTCTATCTTACATTTCGTTCTGCTAGTAATAATCTATTAAACAGAATCAATATGTTTCAAAACTCTGCTCCAAGGACAGTCTTAGGTGCCATGAAGTATACTCCTATTAAATCCTTACACATGGAAGCTCTGAAACCTCCTTTGGAAATAAGAAGAAATTATCTCAGTGAAAGAATGTTAATTAAAATCTATACCAATACCTAAATTATTTCATCAGATTATTATATTAAATAGTTATGATTTAACTAATAAATATTGGGTTAAAAAAATGCCCACCCCTTTGTCTCGCTTTACAAAACAATAGCAATATTGTAAGTGCTCTATATAAAACAACCCTGAAATTAATGATTTTTTTAGCTTTTATTTAGACGCTTTCTTTAATTAACCAAACTATAAAGAAAATATATCTATAAGTAGCAATATATTATTCTCTATTTTAAGTAATTTTGAAGATGCCTTAATATTATATACAGACGTGCCCAAATCAGCTAATGGCGTAGGCTTTGCTTGCTTTGAACCTAAAGAGCACATAGAAAAATCTTTTAAAATTAGGCAAGAATGATCCATCTATACTGCGGAAGCTGCGGCTATCTATGAACCACTTATTTACGCACAGGGCCGCCGAGAGCCAAGCCGGGCCCCAGGACAATTCTCTAAATCGGGCCCCATGATAAAAAAATCTTCTACGTGAATACAATTTTTTCTAAAAAAAAAAAGGTCCTCACATCAAAATACTATTTCTCCCTCCTTCAATTACTTCTTCTTTTAAAAAAAAATTCCTCACATCAAAATACCATTTCTCCCTACTTCCATTACTTCCTCTTCTAAAAACAAAAAAAGTCCTCACATCAAAATACTAACTCTCCCTACTCCTTCTTCTAAAAAAAAAGGGGCCTCATTCGAAACTTCTCTATGCTTTTCCTCTCTTTATATTTAATTTTATTTTTAATAAACTTAACTTTTCTCTCTCATCTTGTGTCGAATTTCTCTTGCAGAACGAAAAAACCTGTTGTCGGGCCCCCCTAACAGCGGTGCCGGGCCCCTATTTCAGTCCGGGCCCCGGGAATTAGTCCCGGCTACCCCCCCTCTAGTCGGCCCTGTTTACGCCTCTTCCTGCAACAGAGAAACGATTCACTCTCTGTTTTAACATCTATTAAAACAAATGGGCATACTAATACATCGACTTGTTCTTTTGTAATAAAAATTAAGCAACTTATCCCAACATTGCCAGAAAGAGGCCAGAACGTGCATTTTATTTGGATTAAAGCTCACGTTGAGCTAAAGCACAACGAACATGTAGATTTGTTGGCCAAAAAAGGCTCTGTAACAGGTTCTAATACGTCATACAATTGATCTGTTTCCGATGTTACTGCAATATTAAAAAGAAATCAGTTCTATAAGTGGCAACACTTGTGGCAGGAAATCCAATGAGGTATACGATCCTTCAGTTAAACATTCCTAAGATCCCTTGATACAAGCATTATAAAATACCGCGAAAGTACATATTGACAATCATTAGGATGAGATTTGTGCCTTTTATCCTAGCCATTTATACAAAATTAAAGTCTCTGAAAGTGACCAATGCAAGACGTGTAATGAAAAAGGAGATCTAGACCATATCTTCTAAAAACAAACAATTCACTGACAAGCTATATAACGACCTGCTTAAATGCAAAATATGCTACCCTTGGAATATCCAAAGTTTATTTTCCTCAAATTCTACAAACATTTATGACTGCTTGATTAAATTTTTAATGGAATCAGGTATACACTTGTGATTAGTACTCGTTACCATTGTTTTCTTTCCTATTGTTTTATTTTACCCCCCTACCGAGACCTAGTGTATGTCTGTTTTTTTAATGCCTTGATGGGTCCCTAGGCGAAGGCGAGTGTCCCCGTTTAATCCACTTGTTGTTATTTGAAATTAAGTATTTAATGTTTTCTCTTTTTCATTCATTATTTGTTTGTTAATTTTCGTCTTCCATTTTGTGACTGGCTGTATGACAAAGAGTCTATGCCAAAAAATAACATGTATTGCGAATATAAAATTATACATTTTTAAAGAATATTAATTTTAGCTTTAAAATAAATTTAACCAAACGTGGTACAATAAAATAAGTATCGATACAGTATGTAAAATGTATCCAATTTTAAATAAATAGGTAACTGTGATTAAATTTCGTAAAATTGTTGTATTTCTCATGAATCCTCATCTAAATTATTTAGTTGATGTCACTGAATCCACTACTGTAATCCTGCATGAAACATCAATTTTCTAATTCTAATACTGACCGGTGGTCAGTTCCCCCATCACCCACCCCTGCAAGTTATCGCCTAATCTCTTAGCTTGGGAACTAATCACACAGTAGAATAGAACATACAATACTCAGTCAACAAATATTCCCTATTCTTCTCTTGTCTAAATTACCAACATTTATGTGTATTATTATTAGAAGTTTGGCATTTACAGTGATTAATAGAAATGTTATATGGCATTGAAGGTTGCAGTGGTAGCTAAAGCACGTCTGGATATGATGGGTTCAGTTTAAGTAAGAAAAATTATCTTTGTAATTGAGAACGATCGAAAATAGTGTTAATGGCTTGTAATTAATAGAATGTACAAACGTTTCACTCAAAATTAGAACAGATGTTTATTCCTAAAGTTGCGAATATCTTTAAGTTGGTAACTTACTTAATTGCAGATTTTATTCCTTGCATAAGAAAATGAAAAATAATAAAAGTCATAAATATATTAAAGAGTCAAAGAAAATACAGTTCCTTAATTATCAGGACACAAGGGCAGATCCAGGGGAAAGGCTATAGGGCCTTGCGTTCCTAGATTAATTTTTTTACAATCCATAAGCCATTTATTAAAAAAATATGCTCTAAAGAGGATAGACAATTTCAAATACATTTCCAGGAAAATCAGTGTACAATTATCTCATTATTTACCACAGGTGCTATTACACATCAAAACCAAGGAAAGATAGAAAACATTGCGTTTTTTAAAAGACACAAAGAGCCGAGCCCGGTTCTTATTAAAGAGACCCGTCAAGATACAGCCAGTGATATGGCAACCTAATATATTCCTTGATTTAACAAAGCAACCGCGAGGAAAATTTAGTTGGAATGTCACAATATATTTGTATGTCATGTCAGCGGCATTGAATGACATTTTTTTGTGAATATTTATTTTATTAAAGAAAAATATAATTAATTATTTAAAAAGAGTCTACAAATATGGCGCAAGGTTTTGTGGGAGATTCGGAAAAGTGTTACAATCGTCCTCATAATGACTATCAATTTCAAACGCCTAAAAGTGATTTAACCGAAGAACAGAAGAAGAAGTTTTTTACTTTTAAATTACAATATTTAAGGGAAAACCACAAGTAAGAATTTAGTATTACTATTAGTAAATCATCAATTATAGTCTAGAGAACAAAGGAGTGTAGTAATTTAATTTGCAAAACGTAGTACAGGTTCAAGAGGTAGACATTTTACTTATTCGCTCCGTGCGCGACAGCAGCGCCAATTTGTTTTGGTATTAAAGGAGTATTTCTGTCTATACTGACAAATACAATTTTTAATAGAATTCGTAAATAAAAAGTATATATGTTAGTTTTAATAAAAGTATATGGATTTATAAAACAATTAAAACATTAATTTATTATTATTATATATTTTTCACGCTTAAATTGAAGAAAATTATGTATAATCATTAAAAATCAATAATAAAATATAGGCAGGAAACAGTATTTACTGGAAAATGTATGAGAAGTTGCCTAAGTCTAATAAGATGTCATTGAAAATACCATTTATAATAGCGTGAAGTTAAAATGTATAAAAAGGATCGCTACTTATATTTTCATTTTTGTTCTAAAGAAAACATAGAATGAATGATTAAAACTGGTTTCCGATCAGTAAGTCACAAAATTGCATACCAGCCAAATATTATAATCAACGGCAGAAATCTTGAAATCTAGTCCTTGCTGAATAAACATTTAAGAATAAAGGGATATTAAAGAACATCGTAAAATGATAATTTATTGTTTATTTAAAAACTTTCTAGTTTCTGATGTCTACTATTTCCAGCATTACTGTTATTATCACAAAAATAAAGGTAATTTTTCTTCTTATTGTACACCTACCCATTTATTTCTTTGATTTAATTTCCACTTTGTTAGTGAAATTTGTTATATAAGTTTCACTGTTTTTTTTTTTGCTAGTATTTGTACAATTTTCAACACAGCAACTCCGGTTGCTTATTGTGTTGTTTTTTGAAAAAAAGTAAAATGTATACGTGTATTTGATATGCCAAAATTACAAAATATCCCCCTAAAATGCACGAATTATCCGCAGCTAGCGCTAGTATCGCTTTTGCTTCCCTTTCCATGACTTCGCACGGAGCGAATACCTCAACATTCAATGCTTATTTGTATACATTTGATCGGCCTAATAAAAGTTTTTTTTTAAATTTAATCACGCCTCCATGGTTTTTACTGTAATAAACCTTTTGTTTTGACAGATAAGTCATACTTTATTAATTCATAGCACTATCGTATGTATTTAAATTGATTCGAAATTTTGTATTAGTATATATTTTTTACAGTTATATAAGGTGACGGTAAACAATATGGACACAATAATTTTCACTATTTTCGCACAATTTATTAATGCAAATGATACTACTTACTATTTTTGATCAATTTAACTGCGGCAAAAGCAAAATATTCATAGTTAATATAAAAACATTGTGTATTGATCAGAAAATAAACTATTTTTTTTATATAACCTCAATTTTCTTAAAAGAAATTTCTATTATTTTCTATAGCTACGTTACCAATTTTTTAAGTGCCTGTATAATATAATAACCAATCGATAATACTGTCAATGGTAACGTACGACAATGGAGCGTCAAATCAATAAAAAAATATTAATTTATTTCGTTTTTTTCCCTAAAAAATACATTTTTACTTTTAATTTCCTGCCATATCCGGCGATTTATATATCTATTTTGTTTGAATTATAGTACATATTGACTCAATATTAAAATTACTATATCTCTAAAGCTCTTTTAGAAAACATAATTTTATTACTCTGTTATCCAAAAGTTTCTAAACTTTTTGAAACAATGACATTTTATTATCTTATTCTGCATTGTCAACCAACGACTTTAACAATTAAAGAGGATAGCTGAATTCTTTCAATTTCTGTCAGTCGTGACGTCATCCCTAAACGCTTTCAGCGATTTAGCCAGAACTTATTTAAAATAAACATAGATACTTACACCTTTTTTATTCTATTTATTTTTAAACTTAAAGGTATTTCAGGTATTCAAAAGATCATTTAACCAGAGAACAAATACAAATATTTAAAAATTTTAGAAATAAAATAGATAGGACCCCGCAATAATCTTATGGAAATTGGGTTTCTGTCAAATTGTCCAAATTTTTAATATGTTGTAGATTTTGTCATCCTGAACAAAAGTCTCCATGGGCACAAAGTGCCAAAATGAATATTTTGGCATCTACGGAGCTGCCAAAGCTCCCCTGACCCGTTACAAAACTATTCATTTTCAATACTATTTACAGATGTCAAAAGCATATTTTAATTATTCTAATATATAGGGTAATGTTTTTGAGGTCACTGGATTCAATCCTCATGTCAGATTGGACAAATTGACCGTTGACAGCTGTTAATTCACGGTCAACGAGGAATATAAAAGTAAATATCCTCTTTTCACATTAAGAGTTGGGGTTTTTCAGGTCGCTGAATTAAATTCTCATGTCAGATTGGACAAATTGACAGTTGACAGCTATTCCTCGTTGACCGTGGACAATTTGTCCAATCTGACATGAGAATTGAATCAGCGACCTCAAAAACCCAAACTCTCAATGTGAAAAGAGGATATTTACTTTTATATTCATCGTTGACCGTGAATTGACAGCTGTCAACGGTCAATTTGTCCAATCTGACATGAGGGTTGAATTCAGTGACCTCAAAAACATTACCCTATATATTAGAATAATTAAACTATGCTTTTGACATCTGTAAATAGTATTGAAAATTAATAGTTTTGCAACGGGAAAGGGGAGCTTTGGCAGCTCCGTAGCTGCCAAAATATTCATTTTGGCACTTTGTGTCCATGGAGACTTTTGTTCAGGATGACATAATCTACAACATATCAAAAATTCAGACAATTTGACAGAAACCCAATTTCCATAAGATTATTGCGGGGTCCTTTAAATACTACCGCCATGTTATCTATAAATATTTATCAAATAATTATTTAAGAAATTTGACATGCTAGTTATAAGATGGTACATTCTTTTTTCCGAAAACAAAGTTCTACACCTAAAAACTACACTTATAAATAGAAAATAGCCCCAGTCTTCCAATTAAATCATATTTTCACCTGCAAAAAATAGTACATGAATTAAATTTTGATTTTTTGTGAATCTTTTTTATTCAAAATTTAATCTACGTAATGCGTAAATATCATTTTATATGTTGTGACCTTATTTATATTATAGAAATTTATTTTGCAAAGTACGCTTATGGAATGTTAGGTTATACCCCACTTTTCCTGCACTCCTCTTTCATTCAGACTATAGCCCAATCTGTTTTTAATATTGAATACAAACTTTCCATTGTTTATTTTGTTGGACCTTTATTTATAATTTATAACAGTTCATAAGTTGGGTAAAAATACTCGAAAATCTGGTAAATTTCTCGCCGTTGGCAACACTGTTACCGTAATTACACTAGCGAACCTAGCGGATTTTTACTCTAAACCCTGATCAAATTTAATCACGTTTTTATTTTTGTTTAAATAACTGTCATCCATCATCGGGCTTATGCCATATACGCCATTTTACGCACTTATCCATCCAGGATTTCTTTTAACTTTTTGGCAATCGTCAAAAACGTTACCTATGTCTTATAGTGGTTCTTCACTAATCTAACGAAGTATTTTATTTTGTGAGGGCTCCAGAACTTTTTTGTGATGAATTAATCTGGTATTATGGATCACTCGTTTATCTTTTTCTAAATACCTTACCAATTTAATAACCTTATTAATGTGAGGGACAAGGTAGCAAAATTTTCTTATTTTATTTTTGTATTTACAGGTATTTGAAGGAACATCCAGAAATAAAAACATTAATTAACCTTCTGCTTCATACTTTAATGAGGGCCCGTCCTGAAGAAAAAGACATCCAAGAATTCATAGCAGATTTTTTAACAGATAATTTTAGAAAAATAGAACGTTTGCTTTACAGACCTCAAACGAAGGAAGAAGAAAAAGAAGAACCAGTACATCTCCATACGAATCTGGTAAATATTAAACAAAATTGTTAGGAGGAGATCTCATATTTTTTTATATTAGATCATCATCATTATTTGACTTTCTATGGTGTGATTGGTTACATGTACTCTCTTCGTATTTTTGGTCCGTTTTGTGCTATTAGGACTCTATATTAATTCTCTAATATTTGGTTGTAATTCCAGCCCAAAGCTTCTTTAAAATTTGCTTTAGCTGATGCTTTACGTTAGAATTTTGCCGAATGTGAATCAGGTCTAGTTAGTTGTGTGTTTTTATTATTTATCCATTTATCTAAAAAATAATACATTTATTGGAAGTCTGATACTCATTTTTAACATTCTTTTATGTAAATTTGACAATTCCTAATTTAATTCTATATCCAGATTATTTTTATTTTATAAATCTTAAAAATAGTATCAAATATATTTTGTGATATGGCGCTTACAAAGATAAAACCTATAAATTTGTATGTTTTAATATGTAGAAAGAGGACTTACAAATCTCACTTCAGCGAATACAAAAAAATTGTCGGACAAAAACATAGAGATGCATGGAGATCCTACCGTGAAGAAATCGAAGATTTCCCACAGGCAGCGAGGCTTCAAAAAGCTCTCTCAAAAGATCCACACTGAAGCATTGGTGCGCTAATCAAAGAGGATAGTACGAAAACTGCCAACCTCGAAGAGAGCATCAAACTTCTGCTGTCAACACACTTCCCTGGCTGGGTCATCATCAGAGAAAGAATATAATCCATCTGTCTATGATTGGCAATATCCAGCTTCTCTCTATTTAAATCGCTAGGACCTGACGGTATCCATCCAGCCCTACTTCTGTGGGGTCTTGAAGAACTCACACCGCACCTGGTGAGTATATTCAGATCCTCGTTGTCTCTGAGGTATATCCCCAAAAAACGGAGAGAGGTAAAAGTGGTATTTATACCCAAACCTGGAAGGATGGATTACACTGTCCCAAAAACATACCGACCAATTAGTCTGACATTGTTTTCAATGCAGACTTTGGAAAGACTATGCGAAAGGTACATAAGGGATGCGATTATTACAACACCATTACACCCAAACCAACATTCATACATTCCAGGCAGATCTACTAATTCAGCCCTTCATCTAGTTGCTGGCCGGATAGAAAGATTCCTGGACAATAAGGAGTCCGCCATAGGTGTTTTCATAGACATATAAGGTGCTTTTGATAAAACCACGCCTCCGCACGGTTGGAATAGAATCTGATGTAGGATCTGGTGAGAAGAGAAGTCGCTTTTGTCAGGAGGCGCTCGATACGCTCCCACTGCTTCAAGCGAACATGGACTTCATCTAACCGTGATATATCTTTCATAAGCCATATAAAGTTATAATAGAACAAAGGAGCCGGAAGTGGCAGGTACGATTTATATCTACACCGACGGTTCTAAAACAAAACAAGGCTCAGGATGTGGAATATAATCCAGATTCTTAAACCTAAATATAAAATTGGCTGTGAGCAATAGTGCCAGTATAGTTCAAACAGAGCTAACGGGGATTCTCATAGCAGCAAAAGAAATAATCAGAAACAATATCACTGGAAGGAACATGCTCATCTATACAGAATAGCAGACAAGCACTGCTTGTTAAAGTAATAGACAAAATACGTAGATCAACTTTTAATAATGGCAAAATATAAAAATCCAGTGACAGTGACAATATATCTGTATTTATCTTGTTTTTTAATAAAATCAAAGTTAGCACAGTGAAGTAAAGCTCTTTCTGCACCTTAACATCTTTTCTCTTTACAAACTTGTGAATTACTATAAGTCATTGGGCGCGTTCAGCCGACGTAACAGTTGATTAAAACCGAAAACATGTTTCTGATATGGTGGAAGTCAACAATTAAAAGTACCTGAACAGTATAAGTTGGTTCAGCGGTTATACAATACACATAAACGTGGTGACCTCTAGTGATGATATAAATAAAATCATTTTCGGTTACAAATTAAGATCATGTAAAAATATACTAATCATAATTAGTCATAACGGACATTATTCATCATGGTTTAACTTTAGAATTTTAAAACAACAAAAATCATGTTCAAAGTTAAGAAATCTGCGGTTATAATCACATATAATCAGCTTTATCCTCATAGAGTGGTTAATAATCAATAAAAAAACACTACAAATCTCTAAATTAAAAATTGCTTAGTTTGTAACACTGAGTACAATACTTTGTTTACAAAAGTCACCATAGAATTTTCCTGGTGCCGATGTTGAGCAACGGTTGAAAGTAACCAAAACTCAACAAGTGACGTTCAGAAGACCCAATAAGCAACCCATATGCAACTGTTGCGTCGGCTGAACGCGCCCATTGTGACATTGATAACCCCATCTGTTCACACAGAGCTGATAGTCTGAAATTCTGAAGCTATTTTCTTAACTTTTAGACTTCCAACGGTTACCAATTCACGAACAAAGAAGTGTCTTACTCTAATATGCTTAGTTCTATTATGGTATTCGTATGGAGAGTTATGAGCTAATTTGATGGCAGACTCATTATCAATATATAATTTTATTATCTCCAGTACATCGGTAATTTCCTTTAAAAATCTTATCAGCCAAATAGTTTTACGAGCGGTTTCACTAGCTGCAACTATTTCTGCTTCGGTGGTGGAAATTGCAACAGAACTCTGTTTTTGACTCTACCATGAAATTGCATACATACATAACACTCCAGTAGTAGAACGTCCTGTTTGCATATCACCTCCGTGATCAGCATCGCTGTAACACTCCAAAATTTTATTTCCGCCTTTTTTTTATAAATAATTCCAAATTTGACTATTCCTTTTAGATATCATAAAACACGTTTTACTTTGACAATATCTTCTCTGGTTGGATTGTCTAAATTTCTCGATGCTAGTCCAACGGCATATGATATATCTGGCCTAGTGCCGACCATTAGATATGCTAGTGCACCAACAGCTTGTCTATATGGAACATTTTCGTTGGTTTCTTTATTGCTGAGACTCGTTGAATCTTTTAGAATTGGGGTTTTTGCAGATTTGCAATTGGTCATATCAAATATTTCTAAAACTTTTTTCGTATAGGCTGTCTGATTGATTTCAATGAAATTCAATTCCAAACCTAAAAAATACGAAGCTGGCTTAGTTGTAATTTTGAACTTTTCTCTCAGCTCTTCAAGAAATAGTTGAGCACCAATTTTGTCATCTACACACAAAGCAATTATAAGCTTCCTCTTATCTTTACTTTTTATATATAGACATGGATCAGCTTGGCTCTGTATAAAGCCGACACTCACCAGAAATTTATGAACACATTCATTTCAACACCTTGGGGCCTGTTTAAGTCCGTAAAGACTTTTATTTAACTTGCAGACCTTTTCTATCCCATCACTAAAACCCTCAGGTTGTCTCATAAATATTTCTTCACTAAGAGAACCATTTAAAAATGCTGTTGAGATATCAAATTGAGTAAGAACCATACTTTCATTGGCTGCTTCACTTAACAGAGTTATAATTGTGCTCATCTTAGCTAATGGACTAAAAGTTTTATCGTAGTCAACTCCCTTCTTCTGTGAGTAACCTTTAATTACCAGTCTAGCTTTGTAGCTTTCTATGGTACCATCTCGATTTGTCTTTTATAGACTCACATACATGGAAGTGCTTTCCTATTTTTTGGTAAGTCTACTATCTCCCAAGTATTATTATCCTTTAGTGATATCATTTCACTCTGCATAGCTTCTAACCACTTATCTTTTTGATGACAAGTAATGGCTTTTTTAAAACATGATGGTTCATGATCATTTTCTTCTATCTCCCCTACGGCTGCCATGATCAAGTCGTTGAATCTTTCACAAGGGCGAATTAATGAACGGTCTCTTAAAGTTTGCTCACTTTTTTCTTCTTGTTCGAGGTTGTCTTCAATTTCATGATATTTATTCTGATTCTAATCATATTCTTCAATCTCGATATTATCGTCTTCATTAATGGCTTCTGCTTCTTCAATAAAGGACTTATTAGCTATTTCTGGTATCTCATACGTTTTACTTATTAGTAGCAGTTCCTTAAAGATAACATTTCGTGATCTGATTAGTTTATATTTCTCTTTATTCCAAATGCGGTAACCACATTCATCGTAGTCAATAAGTATCCCTTGGTGAGCTTTTTTATCCTCTTTGCGTCTTGTCTTCTTAGATATATGGACGTAACATTGGCTTCCGAGAATTCTTAGTTGCTTGATTTATGGCTTTCTACTGTGCCATAACTCATATGGAGATTTTTCTAAGGCTGTAGGTCCTGTACGATTTAAAATGTAGACTACTGCATTAACAATTTCAGCCCATAAACCCTGAGGTATTTCATCATGTGCATACATTACAGCACGTGCAGCTTTTACAATTGTCCTATTTTCACGCTCACTACAACCATTTTGTTCTGGTGTGTAAGGCATGGTTAGACGCTGTTTAATTCCACATTCTTCTAAAATCTTATGTACATTTTCATTATCAAACTCACCTCCATTGTATCTGAAAATTTCTTTTATAATATGTCCTGCAGCTTTACTCTCGGCCAACATTTGCTTTAGTTTTAAGTGTATTTCTAACTTTTCTTTCAAAAAATACACATAGCGATAGCGTGAATAATCATCCTTAAACAAAACAAAGTAAGGAAATTTAGAAATTGAGTGTAAAAATGGACCACATACATCTGTATGAATTAGCTTTCCGCAGCGCGTTGCTCTCTCTCTTGTTCCAAATTTTAGACGATGAGCTTTCCCATAGATACAACCTTTACACATTTCTGAATTGATATCTAATTTTATACCTAGTTCCTTTTCTACTATACGTTTTACGTGCCTCTTATTCTAATGCCCCATTTGCTCATGGTAGAGTTGTAATAAGTCTGACTTTGATAAATGGTTTACTTCAATCGCTGTTTTTACAGTTTTTAAATTGAGTTTGTAGAGTCCACCATATCTATTTCGATTACGAGTCAGTAAATTCTTGCCATTTTCTATTAGCTAACAACTCTTTCCATTGGAAACAAACATACTATTCGTCAATTTGTCTTGTGCTGCCAGAACTGAAAACAAATTTCTTTGAATACAAGGTACATACCATACATCACTTAACCTAATATATTTCAGTTGACCATCTACTTTAGTTTTTACATTAGCTGTAGTGACCATATGTGAATTATTAAAGTATTCGAATGACTGAAACAGATCACCTCTGTTCGTAATATGGCGCCATTGTCTACGTACCAGTTCTCATCCAGTACACTTTGCTCAGAATAAGAAGTCAACTGCAACACAGTAAGATTCACATTGACTGCATTTGACTGTTTCGATTTCGTCTGAAATCCATTTTCCACATTTCTTAACTCTATGACCAACTTCTCCACAATAATTACATTTGAACTCTGTGATCTTCTTTTCCTTTTTCATAATACTTTTTCTATTCTTTGACGTTTTTATTACTAAAGCTTCCATACCATTTTCCACACTTTTGCATGATAGAGCTCTTTCATATGTACAAAGTCGACTCGTTAGATTCTCTATAGTACGATCCTGCTTTTATATCAGCATCCAACTAGATTTAAAGGCGAAATATTTTTCGGGTATAGTATCCAAAACTTTACATATGAGTAATATGTCAGGTAAATCCGTTTTTTCAACCTTTTCTAGCTCAGTCTTTAAATCAAACCAAAATATTTTTCAACTTTGATGTATGGGTAGCGATATCATCAGCTGTTTCTTTCTTATAACCAATGAATTTCATGCATAAGTAATAACTGCGGTCTTCTGATACACCATCAAATAGCCTATGCAGCTCATCCCATACTTCTTTAGCGGTAGAAAATCTGATAACTTTTTGTAATGTTTCATCGGACATGTTTGTAGTGAGTATAAGTAGGCTGTACTGTCTATTTTCTAATGTTCTTGCAACTCTGCCTCATATTTACTGACATTTTTTACTGAAGCTTCTCCTTCTGACTAAGAAGGCTTCTTAAGTTTACCTAGGACTGCATCGTAAGTACCTGAATTACCTCGTAATAGGAAAGTAACTTTATACCTCCAGGTAACCCAGTTAGCTTTATCTTCTAGTTGACCTATATCTAGTTTTACACCGGATGTCTGCATACTCATTATTTAACTTCTCTTGGAATTAATTAACTTAACCATTAACGCTCAACTTTTAATAATGACAAAATATAAAAATCTAGTGACAGTGACAATATATCTATATCTATCTTGTTTTTTAATAAAATCAAAGTAACCACAGTAAGGTAAAGCTCTTTCTGCACCTTAACACTACTCACCCTGAACAGACCACGAATTTACTCAGGGTTAGTACTAGAATGTCACGAAGCTTTAGCCGAAGTATCCATCAACCGTCTTGTTGATTCACTAGCCAAGAAATCAGCCAACCAAATACTTTTTGGACCTGACTCTTCTATTGGCCTGACAAAATCGGTAGTGACAGACCTAATCAAAGAGCATTCCCTTGTGAAATTCGAGGGAAGATAGGATGAAACAAGAAACTGCAGAGTTGCCAAGGAGCTCTTAAGTCATCCTGACAAGACTGCAGCAAACAAATACATGACTAGACAGAATCTGCGCCTAGTCACAGTCATTCTGACTGTTCATTGCCAAGTATGAAAGCATCTCCATGTCATGGGGCTGTCAGAATCTGCACCCTGCAGAGGGTGCGAGCATATCTTTTATGATTGCTCGACGCTCTTATTTATTAGAAGATTTATGTTCAGCGAGTATCGGGTAACACCGGCCGATGTAAGAGAAGCACCTCTTGGCGACATTGTCAACTACATTAAATCTGTAGGTTGGCTCACAAGCTAGGAGGATGCACAATGGGCCTAATGAGACCTAAATGCCGTGGGGGTAACGCACCCTCCACCCGATACAGATACGTAGAATTAAGTTTTAGTGGCCTTGTATGTTTATAATAATCTTGAGATACTCAAGAGAGACAATTCTCACCTGTTTTGTCGAGTAGCTATAGGTTGTTTAATATAAATCGTACAAGGAGTAAGATATGTTTTAAAATTATTATTGTACAGTGATTTTGTAAAAAAAAGAAGAGGAGGAACCACCAAGAATGTCATATTATATTGCTAGGTGCTATAGGAAGCTTTACATTTATTTGTAGTGTGTTTGATACTTCGAAAGGTTTGCTTGTCTTTGTCCTGAAACTAAAAGGAATTGGGTCAAACATTTGTATCTAAAAAAACGACTATAAAAGGATATATTCAACTAACCTAGAACCTTTTTTTTATTTATTTTGGCTTTGAATTCAGTCATTTCTGCAAGAAAAATTGTCTCTGAGGTATTCTACCATCCGGAGCAATTGAACTAAAAGAGCTACCAATAATAGTTTCGCTAATGTTTTAAACTATCTTTCTGTCTCAACTTCATAATTCCAGTAATTAAAATCTCGAATAGTTCATGACTATTTTTGTTTTGCAGCTTCAACCCTGTCAGAGTATTCATAAAATTCCGGTGCCACCGCGGGATATAGAAGATACATTTTTCATGATGGCTAATGTCCACGAAGAACCTTTCGTTTCATTTTCATATGAGATATTAAACGTAGTTTAAAAACTTTAATTTTCGTTTTGCAGAAAAATCAGTCTGGTCCAGGACTTCATGAATTGCATTCTGAGACTGTAAATGAATTAGAAGAAACGATCAAATCTCCACTAACATCTAAAAGCAGTGAAGTTTTCATTGCTTTCTCATATGACATACTAAACGTAGCTTGAAAATATAAAAATAACTACTTAAGTCAGACTTCAGAATGTAGAATTAACACACAAAATAACCGAATCTACTTATATTGACGATATTTACTGGACATTGCTGCAAAATTTTAATATATTATTGTAAGAAGAAATGCTATTTTTATTTTATAACATTCGCAGAATACCAAATGGTATATATAAATGAAGAATCATCCTAAAAAAATGGTTAGTAGAAAAAAGGGTTGTGTATTTTGAAAGTATGGTGTAAGTGGAATATATAGAGCTAGCAAAATAAAATATAATTCTAGTAAAACGTTTTAAAGAAACGATTTAAAAGGGATTAAAAAAATCAATAATAGAATAAATTTGTATTAAAAATGTTTTAATAACACCTAGTATATTAGAAAGGTTGACAAAGCTCTATCAAACTAACACAATACAAAATTTAAAAAAAAATACAACGGCTTTCAAAATTAAGAAATAATTTTAGTATTATAAGTTTTGAAAATAAACTTATCTGTAGAAATTTAATAATTAGTTCGTTTCCAAAAAGATAGAGGGCGTCGAAAATTAGTTTTTTTCTGCATCCTGACATTAATAAGTGAATAAGTGGTTTTAGCTTAAAGAGTCCATTATATTACTTTAATTTGTTTATAACTTATATCAATTGTGACAGGCTTCGGGTTCACCTACAGTGAATCAGCGAGTCTGTGTGACGCCATGATGGTGATTCCCGAATAGGGGTTGCTCAGGCGCCAGTTTTAGTATCACAGTTTGCTCTGCGACCCTGTAGTACACCAGAGTGTACTCAAGGTAAACTCAGTGGAGGTAAAAATAATTCCAGGCAGTCACTGCTTGGTAGCCACCAACTGAGTAGTTCATAAAAATAAAAAAAAGAGTAGTTACGACACTCCCTGTATACGGAAAATGAAGTTTACTATGACCACAGTTAACCCACCTACATTGTAAGTTCAGAAAAGGAAAACCTACTATAAAATGGAACAAAGTTTTCGGAACCCCCTTGTATCTTGGTCTCGAACAATCGACACTGGCAATTTTCGTCGAGTGAGAATGATATGAATTACGCGGTGTTTGGACAACGAAGGCGATGATGATAGAAAAGATTATTTTGAGATTTGCCAAAGCCGATCAAAACGGCGTGTGAATTAATTTTACAGAAAACGTCGGGTTTCGTTCAATAATTAGTTGTGGACGGGAAACGGAATGATTCAAATTGAATGAATAAATAAAAGAAAAGAAACTTACATGAAGTGAGGCGCGAAAATTAATTTAGACGTCTTTTTGGGAAATTAGATAACGCCGTCGTGACAGAGATCACTCTTAACCCGGGGACAGATCGAATCGTCGAAAAAGAAAATAACGGGCCGTTTTTCTTCAAAAGTAATAAATAAAAAAAAATTGAAAACGGGTTGAACCTCTCACTTCAATGTTAACTGGGTGCTTTCTAAGAGAGATTGGCGTCGAAAATGAGAGCACTCAGAGTCTAGCCTATATCCGGCCTCAAATAAAAAATTGCCAACGGTTTCCCACTAAGGGATGAAATGAAATATCCTGGGTATGAATCAAAAAAATTTTCACTTGTACGGGTGTCCCAACTAATTGTAAGTAAGAAAGGCGGTTTCCTACTTTAGAAAAATAAAAGGGGTTGTTCAATATTCTTTCAGTATTACGGTCACTTACAGAGTACTTCACTCGTCACTGCAGGAGAGAGAAGAGCTTACGATTGCCGGAAATCAAGAAAGCGTAATTCATGTAATTTGTCAATAAATGTTTTTTTTACGTAATATTTGTTCTTCTGCATATTTAACACGTGAGTCGAGTATTTACCAGCCTATTTTATGACAAATTTACTGTAGTACTGACTTACATTTTTTTCATAGTTGATCGGGACGTAGTTTAACAAAAGTCGGCAGGAATATTCATCCCCTCTGCTCCTCTATCGATACACCACTGAGCAGCTTTCCCATTTTCAATAAATCGTCAACAGAATATCCCTTTGTTTTTCTGTTTGAAACCAAATAATCGAATTTTCTTTCTTGTTAATCTTTCGACCGCGCATCAATTCCGTTTATGTGGCAAGAAAGCTCGGAAATGACAGTAGACCGAGGTAGTTTTCTTAACAGATTCGGGTAAAAGTATCCCGAACAGCTGCAAATAATATTATTTCCAACCTTTGTCTGCAGTTATTCCTTACACCTACAATACCTTCCAAAGTTTTACGAAATAATTCCAAATTCCAGATAGGTCTACGGTACAGGAAGTTTATATTTTTACCTAATGCTTGAATAATGGAGATGTGCACAGACAATATTTCGGACAGGAGAAAATATAATTACACTATTTTATTAATGAGAAGCAGATTTTATTTGTAGTAAAAGTGAGGAAATAATTCCAAATTTCTCCTACAATTATAAAAAATACGCTATAGTAAAAACAAACCAAAGAAAAATTGAAAAAGCTTTGTATTTAAAAATAAGGACCATTTTTTTAATAGTTTTATTAATAATTATAAGGATGTTGTAAAGACGGAACGTGGTGTTAAAAAACATTTATTTTCAAAAAAAAAATCATTTTATAAACTAATTATAATACAAAATTTAATATAATATAAATAAGATAACAAATCTTTGCTAAATAATTAAACAACAAACTAGATATTTTCGCTGAGTTACAGTATTCAAGTTCTCCGACTAGAATTATTCTATTTTTAACTTTTTAATTTATGGCGAAATTTAAACTTTCATGTACTGGATGTTATGTTCTGATTAAACATTCTGGTGTCTCTCAATTTCATCTTAGGGCCTGGAGATCGATTGTTTCAGGCTGATTTGAGTGACGTTGGATTCTTTGGTTCCTCTTGTTGCATATTCGGTGTCCAAACCATATACAGAAGGCTACGATTCCTATAAACACTGCAGTTACCCCATTACATTGTTCGAGGTGAACCATCGGACATTCGGTGGTTGCAGGGCTATTAGCGTTACATTAAAAGTACATTGCATGCGAGCTTAAAGAGCCTAAAATTGCAGCTTATTAACGTAGATGAGATGTTTTTGTGCTAGCTGAGTAATTTGCTCATAATAAAGCCATTTTCCTTACACACATCATTGGACAACAAGTCTAAAAGAAAAGATAATAATGTAAATCGAAAATATAAAATTGAAAATAACATTTTTAGGTTATATTAGTTTAAAACAAACGATTTGCTTCTTAGTTTTTGGAATTCTAAATAATTTAATGTTAATCGGACAACGTAGTAAAGAATTATCGCTAAAAATTCATGAAAAATGAAGATATTGAAGAATTTCTTATGGACGACATCATTAGATCTTGTCCAAATTTATATGGGACCAGCCCTGGGATATCCCTTTTCCAACAAAAAAGAATCCTAAAAATTGGACAATGTAGTAAACAATTATCGCTGAACCAGTACAATCGGACGACTTGTTATTACGACAGCTTTCAATCTGTAGCTGTTAGTTCTTCTTTTTTGTGTGTCATCGACTTCAACTGCTAAGGTTATTTCGCCTAGTATTCTATGTAGGCTTTATTACTGTTTCCCAGCGCCACTTTAGGAACAGCACTGTTAATTAGAACCCAACCGTGAATGGTCGAGTGGGGAATCCTACCAAGGCATCAGAATTCATTTTAAATAATTAAATTAAATGTAAAAATTCTGGTCAACGGTGAGATTCGAACCTGGGACCCTTGGATTCACAGGCAGAGGCTCTACCACTGAGCCACCCACCCCCTGCTGTTAGCTCTTGTATTTATTTCTAATAAAAGATTTGCCCCTGTTGTTATCAATATCCAATGACACACGACAATGAAAGAAGAATATTTTTATTCAAGATTCAACTTGTAAGTAATAAGAATACGACGATGATGTATGACTACAATAACAATAATGATTCCGAAAGATGCCTATGCGTTCTTAGACTTATTCTCAATACTGAACTTATGACTGCTGCTTTCCCGTATTCATTGACATTTCTTTAGCCAGAGAAGCAATGTCTCTTTTCCTTCGACTCCCGGGTTATAACAATTTCTGTACTAACCAACTACGATCCCTTTGACAACGCAGCAGCGTGTATTCTATGACTCTTTAAAGATTTCTACCATTTTCTGTTTTCTATTCCTTTTTTGTGATTTTATATGAATTTCTATAAATATCCGACTGTCTATCACACTTTCAACGTTTCGCTCTTCCTCTTCTTCTTCAGCTTCTCCAGTGGTTTCTTTGTTCTTTGTTTTAGACCTGCACTGCTCTCTACATAATTTCTATTTGTCAGTATTCCTTTATAATTTAGGCCTTTTCAGCTTCTCGTATCAATAAATTTCTACGATTTTCTACGAATATCCGACTGTCTGTCACCCTTTCAACGTTTCATTTTTCTCTTCTTCTTCAGATTCAGCAGTGGTTTCTTCATCATCGTAAGTCTTCACTGCTCTCTGTATGATTTCTAAGTATTCTTCAGTGCTCCTCCAAAGTTTAGGCCTTTTTGGCTTCTGGTATTAATAAATTTTATGTTTTTCTACGAATTTCTTTAATTTTTTATGAAAGCCTTTAACACTTCAAAACGATGTATTATTAGTGGAGATATACGTTAATGCCCTTTTGGCTTTGATGGCAATTCTTTCCCTGGAATTGACAGCAAGATAACAGTTCAAGTTAAAAGCCAATAACAACGATCCGTTAATAGCGTTTTGTCTTTGAGTGTAATTCTTTCATTGAAAATGACAGCTAGATGACAGTTTACGCTGAATGCTGTTTGTCTCGTTTGAATCGGAGCAATTAATAACAGATATATTCGTTAATGGATTTCTGGCTCTGTTTTCTCGTTTACCTCGTATATTTTTCATTGTTTACGTCAACGATTGCCGCTATCTTGGATTCCCGATGTTAACTAACCGCGAGCTAATGTTATAATATTTACTGATAAGCCAGACTTCGATTCTCGACGCGTGACCTTAATATTAACGTTTTTCGCTATATTTCACATTAGCGATTTCCCATGTTAATTTACATAAGAAATGGCCCCGAACTGTTGTTGCTCCTTTACTTAACAAATTTAGCGTTCTCAAGAACCTCCCTATATTTATTTCCTAAAATTTCCAGTTTTTTGAACATTTGC